TTAAAATAGGATGCAAGCAACACTAGTTTCTTAACCTGAATTGATAATAGACTATAATCCATTTAAGTTTGCATTCTTATACCATTTTGTACAATAATTATAATGAATAAGTTCAAACAAATAAAAACGTACAGCTGATTAATAACGGTATCTAACTTGAGTTTTTATTATATCAAAAACCTGTTGAAATGCTACTGTTATTTTTACTGTCCCCCAAAAGCGCGTCGGCAGCCTCCAGGAATGCTTCTTTCACAACTTTGCCATCTTTGAAAGACTTCATGTGTTTCGCAAGAACGTGACTGACACGATAAGATGCTATGGTAGCAGCCTTGCTCTTGTTGTTGGGCCTGGTGAAAATGGACTGCTGTGCATTTAGCTGTCCTTTCAGGCCCCTCCCCTTTTGGGAGCGGAGGGCAGAATTAGGAGGGAATTCCGTCTCGTAGCGTTTGTGCACTGTTTTGAAATGCCGCTCCTAAATTACCCTTCTTCGATAAAGCCACGCTCGCATTGCAGATGAGACAGATGGACTTTGAATTGGAATAGATACAAAAATAATCATCCTCCCACTCGGAGTGAAAATTATATATTTTGGGCTTTTTTGCTTCAGCCATAATTGCGGTCTTGTGTGTGTGCGGACTGTCACTCCTGTTGACACGGACAACGTCAGCGAAATAGTGCCCACTGCCCACCAGCCACGCCCCGACACATGGGGTCACACCGGACAATCACAGAGCTTTGATGCGTTTAAGTGCATTATTCTAGCACAGGAAGATTATGTTATAGGACATTAAAAATAGAACAACAATATTCTGTTTTATCGTCAGACACATCTCGCGATCGACTGGGAATCTCCCCGCGATCGACCGGTTGTGCACCCCTGCCGTAACGGAACCAGGGAAACGGAGCCCTCAAACGGTAACGGGTCCCAAGGTGGGTAGGTCTGCGGACGGAACGCTCTGGGGGGTCAAACGGCTTTGTGTGTACACCCTACACGCCATAGCCCCGCCTCTCCCCACCTCTCCTGCTCACCCCCGCGTCACACGCGTCATTGCTGATGTGTTTCGCCAACAACAACAGTGTTCCGAGTGTTTCGAGCCAGGTCCCGGTATCTCGCAGGACAGTGCACCCAGCAGGAGCCTCCAGCAGACCCCCCCGCACGGTTCCCTCGTCCCTTGGAAGAGGTGGAGAGGTGGGTGTTTTTCATCTGCTGGTGGACTACCGGGGAGAACGTCCTGCTCGGGAGCCAGGCTCAGAGTTAGTGGCAGTGGGTGCGGAGCAGCTGCCTTTTACAGCAGGAGCACACGCTCGCCTCGGGGAGGGAGAAAAAGAGAAACAGAGGCCGCCGAAACAGCCAGAGCCCTGCCTCTCCCCACCTCTGCTGCTCACTGCTGTAGCATGGTCCACCTCTGCTGCTCACTGCTGTAGCATGGTCATGTTAGTGGAAAATCTACAGCTCCTCTACCACAACCATCAGCAACAAGTGGACATGGAGAACTACATGTTGCTAAATCCACCGCGGAGAATAAACAGAAGGGCAACCAGGCAACCAGAAGAAAGGAAGAGGCATCTCTAGACGCCATCTCCATTATTAGTCCTTTAATTCAACATCTAAATTCAGAGCGTTGCAACTTACTGTTTTTGATGGGCTCAAATCCAGGGTGTATGACAACGGTGACTTCTCCTGGCTGTGAGTCCAGCAGTGCTGAGATGCTGGTGAAGTACAGCTGATCCCGGACGGGGAAGGCCTCTGTCAGGTTGCAAACCAGAGGGGACTGGACATGCTGGCAGCTGGCCACTGGCACCCAGATAGTCCCCCTGCAGGACCAGAGGAGGAGAGGAGCAGATGTTAGGAGGCCACAAGACACCACTGTTGACTGTTGACAGCAGGAAGCTTTGGTGATGCTTTCTCACCGCAAAAAAGTCATTGTCAACATATGAAGGTCATAATGTGACACCTACACTGGAAGACATTATTCAACATCTGAAATCCTCCTCCTGTAGCCTCGATATTATTCCGACAGGATTTTTCAAAACTGTTTTTCCCTGCATGGCCTCAGATATACTACTGTACACATAGTAAACAACTCTCTTCAATCAGGTGTATTTCCACAGGCCCTGAAAACTGCAGTAATTAAACCGCTCCTAAAAAAGCATAACTTAGACACAACCGTAATGAATAATTACAGGCCAATATCAAACCTTCCTTTTTTAAGCAAATTGATTGAAAAAGTTGTTTTTCAACAGTTGAGTCATTTCATGTTTTTAAATGACGGTTTTGATGTGTTTCAGTCTGGCTTTAGACCTAACCACAGCACTGAGACTGCACTTGTTAAGGTCTTAAATGACATTCATTTAAACACAGACAGTGGCAGAATATCAGTTTTAGTATTATTAGATCTGAGTGCTGCCTTTCATACTGTTGACCACAACATATTGCTAGACCGTCTAGAAAACTGGGTGGGAGTTTCAGCAACAGCTCTAAACTGGTTTAGTTCCTACTTAAAGGACAGAAAAAACGTTGTCTCAATAGGCAACTACACATCAACTTTGACAAATATGTCATGCGGGGTTCCTCAAGTCTCCATCTTAGGACCTTTGCTTTTTAATATTTACTGTATATGCTACATCTGGCTGAAATTATTAAAAAGAGCGATCTAAGCTATCACATCTATGCAGACGACACCCAGATTTATTTTAAAATCACACCAGGAGACCACTCTCCGATTAGAACACTGAGCAAGTGCATTGAGCACATCACTGACTGGATGACTCAGAACTTTCTCCAACTGAACATTAGATATAATGGCTAAATTCTTCCTAAGTTAATTATGCGCATCCTGCAGGCCTTGAGAATTGAGTCACACAGATAAGAGAGACAATGGTCCTTTTGTTGTAAAGTGAGCCTGTTTGGTTTTCTGCTGGCCAGCGCTGAGTCACTGTGATACAGCATATTTTGCGTCTCCCAATGAGATGACCTGAAAAGATGACCAGCTGACCTAACCCTAACCCTCCTTCTTATTCTGGTATATCTCCTGTTGATCCCTGGCTATCGGTCTCTCTTCACATGCTGCCAGGACCGAAAGGATCTCCGCAGCACGCGAACCAGGGCAGGAGTGGGCCGGCATACTCCTTAAACATTACAATATAGTTGTAGTATATTATATTGTATTGTAATGATTGTATTGCATTGTCATATTACCATTAAAGTAGTTTATTGTTTAACGGTTACTTTGTAGCTCTGGATTCCTTCCTGTATTATAACCAGCTTGATAGGGACGTGCGGAGATTTGAAAAGCGGACCAGTTATCCCTTTAAATCTCCAACACCTGATGTCACTATCTTTGACATTTGGCTGATATCGGACTGTGAATGATTGTATGACCTGATGGATTAAGCGTAAACATGTATTCTAGCCTGCTTGGAACACTAAATGGATTATGACTTAAAACTGCACCTTAGTACACGTCTCTTCACAAACATCTTTGTGTGTGTGTCTTTGTACAAACTCTGACCAACATCTGTAATCCTTTTCTGTTGTAACACAAACAGAACGCATCAATAAGCCTGCAACCGGCTGATTCTATAAAGACTCACAGTTAGTATACATACAATAAACTATAACAAACACTGATGAAACCCACGTGTCTGTCTTTACAGCGACTTGGTAGTAGACTCCTGTGGGTGTCCCTGGTCCAGGCTCCCATCTCAACTCGTGTTTGAAATGGCTTGAGGTCAGGTTTATGTTGACAGGCAAGGGGAGTTTAATCATAGCTGTAATACAAATAAACGGGCATGAAATGTATATACATACAGTATAGCAGATTCATATTTAAAATGCACCTCAAATATACATAGGCTACTAAGTGTTGGCATTAAAAACAAGTTATTCGATTTGTTAACAACTGAAATAACACTTTCTGTGTTATCCAGAGATGTATTAAGGGTGAACTCCACAATCGTATCAAAGTCTGTCCACAGCATATAATTATACTTAATACAATATAATATATATGGTAGTAAAATAATGCATGACCCAAAACTCTAATTAAAGCTGGATCACATGTCAAACATCTCACAAAAATGTCACAAACTGTACTAAACCATATGTCCTCACCTGGCAGCACGTGAGAAAGCAGCACGCGAGGCAGCAGCGCGAGCATCCACAGGAGAGCGGTCATGCTGCCCACTCCCCATCAGCCCCCCGCAGCCACAACTCTGCTGCATTCACTTTCATATTAACATCTGTCAGAACAAAACTGCAGTTACTACAGCAGCCTTTTAGTCAAATATATCATATCGTGTTGTTAATACAATTATCTGAACTTGCTTAGGACAAAATTGTCTGAGAAATGAATGTAGCTAATGTGATGACTGTGTGGTGGGGTAGCAAACTATTTTCTATTTCACAATGACACCATGTGCAGTTAACGTTGGACTTACCGTAAAATAACCCTAGTTACAATTGAATGTTACATTTCCACATTACCCCAGGTTACTGTTATGCCAGTTTACTTTCATATCGAAACGTCACTGAGTTCAAAAATACTTTCACTTTGCCTTTGTATCGGCTTAGTTAGCTTATATACACACAGTTTAACGTCCCCTTATTTACAAATGAATGAATTCTTAAAACATAAAACGCTATCTTGTTAAATGTAACTCAGTTGGTCTTATTTGTGTTTTTCTCAAGGCAGCCCCTAGCCGGAAATGTATTTATCGTTAGCTTACTTTAGCTAACTCATGGACTAGCAATGACTGAATCAGCATGTAGCGATCTAAAGCTTTTAGAAGAGTAGTAAGGTCACAGCTACAAACCGTTCTTAACATACAACAGTTAGATATTACAGTTACCTGTCCTGAGAACGTGTTTTTCCAGCTTTGACAGACAGCGGTGTGGTGGACGCATACACACTGCAGCTGGTCATGCTGCCTTCAGGAACTCGAGTTCAGTTTGCCACACTGACAGGATACCTTCGAAATAGTCACACAAAACAATAATAAAGCGTTTTCAGAAATAGGTTCCTTTATTAGAAGAATGAATAAATACAGGAATGTTCTTTGTTATTTCAGTACAAAAGTTGGCATTTTTAATTGGACAGCGATAACATAAAGTGAGGACAAAAATAACGATAACGAATAAAAAGTCAGGTGGTGATAAGACTACATCTTCTCTTAGATACGTGATAGTACTACATCTTAAGTTATGTTATTTCCCCCCACTGTATTGTAAAACGCACAATAAAAAATGTTACTTGCAACTTTACTTTGCTTCTAGAGGTGAATGGAATTTGTCCGTCGTTACGTGAACGTAACATCTGATGAGGCTGTTGATAGGAAATCATGTGACCTAGAAGAAGTAAAGTCATAGGACTGCTGTTTGTGTACCTTTTTCAACTTTCAACTTTTTAAAGCATGGAGTCAATAATTATTCTAGAATGACGCATCAGTGGTCTGAAACATTCATCTATAATCACACGCATGCAATATCAATGTGAGAACAGAAAACACATGGTTTTACAGAACATTCCCATTTAACTTCACAACATTATTTTTTGCTGGTGTCTTTCCAGCTGCCTGATCAATCCTTCATTAGGCTGTGTTCCAATCCAATACCACATACTCATGTTATACAGTGAATACTAGGCCTGCATACCAAATATATTGCAGCTTATTTAGTTATTAGCATACAATAACATCAACATACTTATACATTTAAAAAAAAAAAGAAGATGTGCACCAACCAATCAATCAATCAATCAATGTTTATTTATATAGCCCAATATCACAAATGTTACATTTGTCTCAGTGGACTTCAGTTTGTACAGAATATCAGTATGACAATACGACACCCTCTGTCCTTAGACCCTCACATCGTACAAGGAAAAACTTCCGGAGAAAACCCACAGTTTAAAGGGAAAAATGGGAGAAACCTCAGGGAGAGCAACAGAGGAGGGATCCCTCTCCCAGGACGGACAGACGTGCAATAGATGCCGTGTGTAAATTGAAAAGATAATACATTTGCAACCAACTGTTCATTTTCAAACTGCGACTTTGGAATAGAGTGTATTGCCCATAGCATGAGTCCTTTTCTAGTCTTTGCAACCACTCAAAGTCCATTACAACACAAGCTAGCATCCACCCATGCACACACACATTCATACACTGGTGCATGATTGAAGAGTTGAGTTTTAATGAGAGATTTAAAGTTGGCCTTTTGAACAAAACAAAATCAAGGTTTAAATGATAAGTTTGTGGACAATTCCAATGATGTGCTTCAGTTTTAGAGTCGTGGTAATGTTCATGCTGGTTCAGTGACACAGTGCCATACTGGGACAAGTCCAAATGTCTATTTAACTTGAGCTTATGTGAGGTATCTATACTAATAAAGGACTGGCTTACCTAAAGCCAGTTGAGTAGCACTTGAAATGTTTGGCTCTATGAAACCTGATGTACTTATATGATTCTGTTTTCTTCAAGGTTGTGTCTTCCTGGTCGAATGTACTTATTGTAAGTCGCTTTGGACAAAAGCGTCAGCTAAATGCAATGTAATGTAATGTATCTTTTTATGTTGACTTTTCGGGAAGTTTTATATCCATAGGTGGGATGTATCGCGGATACAAGCGGTCGAGATGGGTTTTCTCCGCAGGGTGGCTGGTATCTCCCTTAGGGATAAGGTGAGAAGTTCGGTCATCAGGGAGGGACTCGGAGTTGAGCCGCTCCTCCTTCGCGTCGAAAGGAGCCAGTTGAGGTGGTTCGGGCACCTAGTTAGGATGCCACCTGGGCGCCTCCCTAGGGAGGTGTTCCAGGCACGTCCAGCTGGGAAGAGACCAAGGGGTAGACCTAGGACCAGGTGGAGGGATTATATCTCTTCGCTGGCCTGGGAGCGCCTTGGGATCCCCCAGTCAGAGCTGGTTGATGTCGCCAGGGGAAAGGAACGTTTGGGGCTCTCTGCTGGAACTGCTACCCCCGCGACCCGACCACGGATAAGCAGGAGAAGATGGATGGATGGGATGTATCGAAGCTCTCAGTAAAGTTTCATATTTTTTACTTAGATGTTTACAAGAACAACTCGCTTTCAAGCCTTTCCTAACCCTAACCCAGCCCAATGCCGCAGGACAGCTGTATGGATGTGGTTTGTTTGGCCTTTTGTTCTTACAAATAGAAAAATAGAGCACCAAAACAACAGCAGCCAACTACATTTAAAACATTTCAGTTACCGCAAATAAAAGGAATGCACTTAATGACCATTAACAGGGTGTGATTTGCTAGGTGGATTTCTCCTTCTGGTCTTCAATTGAAATATATCGAAGTAAAGCTCTGCAACAGGAGAACAGTCTATAGTGCAAACAACAATAACATCAGAAATGGTCCACTGTTGCTCTGATGTGACATTAGAGATGACACCACAATGATGCTGTTTCTATTTGCCCTGAGCCATGGAGCAGAGGAGCTTCCCTGCCCATAGATGTACAGAGACGTGTGTAAGAGGCACGACACACCACAGATGACCTTATCCTCAGTAAAGCAGAAAACAAATCACTCAAGTTATACTATACTATATATTATTCTTTGAATGTCACTTTAAAAGCTGCAAGAAATAGCCTTGTTCAGGCCCCTTTTCACACACAGCGCAACACATCATTAGTGCTGCATGTATCCACAGAATTCCTCCTCCTCCTCTTCATCTTCCTCCTCTTCATCTTCCTCCTCTTCTTCTTTTGTCTCTTCGTGCCGCATCTCACCATCACAGGTGTTGAGACAGCTAGAGAAAGTGTCCGCAAGTGTGCCTTCAGTAATGTCTTCTTGTGTGGGTAGCAATAATGCCACGGCTGTCTGATCATCTGACTCAGTTTGTGAGTGTGTGTGCAGGAGAGGCTCCAGATCAGAAAGTTGCAAAAGGTCTGTGGGAGAATCTCTTGTGTTGTGCTCCTCTTCCTCGCATACAGCCAGCGCAGCGAGGGTGACTGAGAACAGATTGATATTCCCTGAGCCCTCACACACCTGCTCCTCCTCCACCTCACCTGTGATTGTTCCATCAGACAGGAAAGCTCCTTCAGCTTTGGGCTCATCTTCATCAAGCCCCCCCCCATGTGGTGCCTCAATCTCCAGCACTGTGTCCGGTACCTGCCCCACCCCTGTCAAACTGCCTGAGCCCCTTGACGCAGACACCTTGCTGTTCCCCGACACATCAACAGAGTCCTGGCAGGAATTTTCCCCCGAGGAAAATCCTCTATTCATGTACAGCTTTCCCTCTTCGTCTTCGTCCTCGTCACTCGAGTCGGCGCCCCTGGTGGCGGGTTGTGGAGTTGTGGCATTGTAGGGCTTCCTCCGTCTCTCCCTCCCTGCACTAATGGAGATATTGTCAGGGATTGTCCTCTCCAGTGTCAGGGTGTAGCCTTGGCTCTGAGCCTCCTAGGGTGGCAAAGAGGGAGAGAAGAGATATCTATTACAGTGTAATAGATATGTCAACTTAGAAATGCACCATCCCCAGGAATCATCTATTCAACATAATGTAATAATTGTGCCAAAGGGAGCCAAGACAGCAAATGTTCTGTGTGAAACATGATGGTTAAGTTGAAGCTACGGTATCTACTGTAAGTGTCAATCTTGTTAAAGCTGATTTTTGGAATGGCTGTAGTGGCCAAACGGTGGTACTACAGCGTCCAAGACGTAATTTTGGTCTTACAAAAACGTTTTCCCATTGACTTACATTTTCAATGAGATAAATTAACTATCCAGTAAGAACACTTTTACAACCCTATTTTAAATCATTGGGGTTGATACATGTTGCTAATGCACTAAAAGAAGATGGGATGAAAAAAAGACATTGGTGCACATAAATATCAGATGCTGTTTGAATAGCTCTTTGTTTGAAGCATACTGACTTCAAAGTACAGTTAGAGAGAATGGAATAGTCAAAGCACCATGTGTTGTCATTTTTGGGGATCTATTGGCATAAATAGAATGAAATATTCAGAGATATGTTCTTATTAGTTTATAATCGCCATAGACTAAACACTGGAAGTGGACGTTGTCAGCGTGAGGTAACCCCTTAGTTTGTAGACTTCTGTTTGGAGGCCTTGATGGTCGCCCTCTGTGTTTTTTGGCAGAACCATTGTGGTTTTGTAATACCAGAAGTGACATGAGAGGGCGGATCAAAGAACACCCATAAGCTGAAAAAGACAGATAAGAAAACTTGAAAATTGAACCACAAAATAGTGTAATTGTCTTCCTTTGAAACCAGTGAAGTTTAAGGCACTTGTCTTGGGCTTCTATTTCAGAACCAAAGTTGAAAGTGGCTTCTTTATATCAAATGTGAAACTAAGGATTGAAGGGGTTTGCTTCCTAAAACATTTGGCAGATGAAGAGTTTATCAAACTAATGTCCAAGCAAGAACAGGGTGGAGACATTTTCCCTGGAGAAAAGCCTTGAGTGCTGTCTGTGCTCTTCTTTCGATGAAATGACTCTCCAGTTCTGATCTAATTCACAGCATACACGCACCTAGAGAGGACCTTATACATGTTGAAGTTGTTTTTACCTTAAGGCAACTGTAGGTTCTCTGACACGCTTGGAAAGGGACTAATGGGGTATTTATTTAGCATCTGCAACTTCACTTTCCAATAAATACTTTTCATTGTTCCTTTAAGGGTTCATTTGCCTACTTAGAAGCATGTTTCGACCTGTTGTTAAAAGTGTAGGGGGGAATAATGAAAATAAAGAACTTGAATGGGATGGATGGATTGACGGACAGATAGACAGATAGACAGACTTACAATAAGTGCTCTAGGTAGAGTTGCCTTCAGTTTACAGAGGAATCCAGTGTAGTAGAGGCCAAACATGGAGGTCATCACAACACCAATACCAACAATCAGAGTGGCAGCAACTGTACCTAAAACAACAGGGTCTGCACACACACACACACACACACACACACACACACACACACACACACACACACACACACACACACACACACACACACACACACACACACACACACACACACACACACACACACACCACACACAACACACACACACACACACACACACACACACACACACACACACACACACACACACACACACACACACACACACACACACACACACACCACACACACACACACACACACACACACACACACACACACACACACACACACACACACACACACACACACACACACACACACACACACACACACACACACACACACACACACACACACACACACACACACACACTAATATCTTGAAGTGTAACATGTTACAAAGGTAGACACAGATATAGGGCCAGGGGCGGACAGGCCATCGGGACGTTCGGGACGAATCCCGATGGGCCGGTACTGAAGTGGGCCGCCCCCCGTCGACAATTTACTAGCGGTATTTACTTGCGGTACCGAGGTGGGCCGGCGGTACCGAAGTGGGCCGGTCGAGAGTCCCGGGCTGATTTGTAGTCCCAGTCCGCCCCTGTATAGGGCTTTATTCTTATGCAGGTGCATGGAGCAAAGTGCAGTTCCTACCTATCCTGTGCCCTTGTCTCTTTGCAAAATTACCCGCATTTTCGGGGCAATGGGGTGAGTAGTACTCTCCGGTGTGTTTGTGCAAATAAACTCTTCAAATATACTTATTTTGTATGTGAGATGTAATATTTATGGTATGAATTTCACAGCCTTTCCCTCCTTTATATCCCAGTTTCTCATCGCTCCAGTTTATGTGCGTAAGCATGGGTCAGAGATTCTGTGGAAGTCTGAAAATGTTCTCGCGAAGTTTGCTGTTTATACATTTGGAACTTTGCTTAGAAAGTGGCGTATGCATTCTTTTGAGCAGGCACAATGTTAAGAAAGAGGGCCTGTTCTCTCCCCTCAGTCCTGAGAATTGTACGACTACAGTATAGTGCATAAAGGTTGCGGTGCAGATTGATTGTCCTGATTTGTGATTGTTGGACTCTAACAGTGTTAAGGAGGCAGAAGCTCAATCCGTAGGGGCTTGGTTTATGGAACAGATTGTCAACGGAGGGTTCAATAAAGTATGCCTTCTTCTTCTTCTATTTGAGATTGTGATCTAAGCAGATTAGAACTTGCTCAAGTGGGTATCCTGCAATTGGTGGACTTAAAGAGGGTTTATACAATCAAAGAAATGTTATAAAGAATAACTTTTGAGCTTTGGTTACATGTGTGTTAGGTCAGGAACCCCTGGCCAGCATCTCGTTAATAACATGTTAACAACATCATAAACATCAGCTCTGACATTTCAGCTCACCTCTACTTGGTTCCACAATGCCGGTGAAGATGCACTTCAAAGCAGATGGCTCTGTGTTTTTATTCGTATTGATGATTGTTTCCACCTGTACACAGTACTCTGTACCATTCTGTAGGTTGGTCAGAGTAATACTCGTTTCTCTTATTTCCATGGACGACTTCAGCTAAATATGGAGAATGAACTTGATTACAATTAGGTCCTTTATTAAGGTGCAATAAAAGTGAGCGACATGTGGGAGGTTGGGTTTTCTGTGTGCGAGATATAGAACATTTACAATCATTCAAAGAAATACATAGTATGACATAAAGTGAGATATGGACGTCTTACCCCTTCTTCTTCCGGTTTCCACCAAGACACTACGAAGCGAGCGCCATAAAATGTCTTCATACTCATATGAAGTTTTGCACTCCTGTCAGCTTCAGGGAAGGAAATGTTGACCTGGATGCAGTTGCCACATCCAAGTAGTGAGACATTTGTTGGACCTATTTTAGCTTGTCACAAGAGGAAAGAATATACAAATATGAAAGACAAAAAGAATCCCTCTCAATCATCAGTTACAGAAGTGTGTGGTGGTGTCTCAGAGGATCTCCAAAGTCTGTAGGAATGTTAAAACATTTCCTCCAGCATCTCATTAGGCTTCAAAACAATTGATAGGAAGGCTATGCAATGAATGACATCATCAAGGCATGTAGGTTTTTATTAGATTAAAAAGTAGGCTATTCTTTTTTAAAACAAGTCCTGTTGATTGCATGATGCAAAATAACAAAAAACACACAAGCCTACACCGTTGCTGTTCACACAAAGAATCTACCTCCACTTTGGGCCTACTCATATAGAAAGTGAAACTGGAGACGGAGATGGAGACCACCAGCTACCTCCACCAGTTTGGCCTCTCAAAATAGATTCAACCCTCCTTAAACAATGTAGCATCATGCTGCTTGTGGCAATGATTACAGGGGCTGGGGCTGACAGCTATTTTCATTGTATGCTACTTTGTAGTACTTTACTACATTTTGGAAGCCGATTTTGTATTTTTTTAATTCCACTACATTTATTTTACAGATTTATAGTTACTTTATCAATTCAGATTTTGAATCACAATAGAAAAATATTTTAGAATATGATTATTTGGTATAAACGTAACCATGTTTAGTTTAAGTTAGTGCTGCTCAATTAATCGTATTTTAATTGCAATTACGATTTTGGCTTGCAACGATTATGAAAACAACATAATCGAAATAAAACGGTTATTGGTTTTTCAGTTAAATTATACTTAAAGTTCAGGGTAATCAACTGTTAAAAACATACTGTTAAACTTTTTTTTTCCAATAAATTGATGTTTTCAAAGTAAATGGATAATCGTTTTTAATAATCGTGATATCAATTATTGACCCACATAATCGAGATTATGATTTTTGCCATAATCGAGCAGCCCTAGTTTAAGTACATTTGTCCTAATTGTATTTAAATACTTTCACATAAATCACATTCTTGTTGCAGTGCTTTTACTTGAAATTGAGTATTTTTATTTGTACTTTTACTCAAGTAAAGAATCTGAATACTTTTCCACCACTGGTGCAGTTCATTTGGGCTGGGGTGAAAGCTCTGGATTGAAGCCTGGTGCTGACCAAACAGCCAGGCTCAACCTCAAAAGGTGGGTTTCGGACTTTTAAAGTGTAAAGAAGTCCAATCAACATGTTTCCTGTCATGCGTAAAACTTCATGTGTACTCTGCATAGTTTGTGTAAAAAGTGTGAACAGGAATCGGATCAGAACTAAAATGCAGCTATGTCTCTCTTTTCCCCTGGTCTGGACCAAATGAACGGTGCAGGTGTGAATGAACCCTTAGCCTTATCTCATAGCAACCAATGTATTATTTCATTCAATAAATCCAAGGTAAAAAGCATGCAGGTAAAAAGATGCTCATGTGACGTACTTTGTGTGATAGGTTGGAAGGTGTATGGTTTGGACTCTGCAGACAGGGTTTGGTTGTAAGACGCCTGGACAGTCAGCTCATATTCGACTTTGCTCTTAAGTTTCAGCTTAATGGATGTAGTCTTTGAGGACCATTTCTTTTTGCTTGCTTTCTTCTCCACCCTGCAGAAAGAGAAACATACAAAATACAAGTACTGTAATGAATATTATTACACTTGTGATTAATCACCGATTGTTATTGTGATTAGTACGATACATTTTTTAAACCTATTGACAGCACTTGTCTAAATAGTTCCTGGTCAACAATGATGACCTATGGCACAGAGGAAGTAGATTGTGCTTCATATTCACACACAATACTGTTAGTAGGATCATCTTTGTTGGTTTTCCTTTTTCCAAAGGATTTGGTAAGAACATTTCTCCTTTACAATTTAGTAACATAGTGAAGAAATAACACGAATGGCTTGCTAACATTACCATAACACATGAGCATTTCAACGGTTGTAAGTTCAATAGAGCATTGAAATAAACCATGTGAATTCAGTTCTGTCAAAGCAAATACAATCATATGTAATATGAACCTTCACAATGACTGTCAAAACCAAAGATTAGATCATGTGAAACTAGACACACACAAACACTCCTTCCCAAAGCTTTTTATAGGAGAATCATCAGTTCCTTAAAAACAATCAGCGGGCCCCTCTGTGGCCACAGCTGCTTTGCGCACTCTAGATACAACAACAGATGGAAACAAACAGCGTTCTGACCGTCATTCATGGTCCACGAAAGCAGAGGTTAAAGAGTTAAAAAGTTCCACCCACTCAGATATTCCATCAAAGAAGGCGCTTTAGTTAGCCTCAGATTTACAGACAGACAATCGGAGTGAAAACGTCACCAAATGAAAAGGTAGCGGTTTTCACTCGCGGTTGTTGGCTGATACAAACTGAAAAGGCTGATATGACGTGGCAAAAGATTTTCGAACTATATTCACTAAATATTTAGTGACTGATAGCAGTAGTTTGGGCAACCTGGGCATAGTTTCTGGGAGTCACCAGATGTTTATGGTGGTCAAAATAAAATAATAAAATAACATACATCTGAAGGATTTTTTTGACATCACAAGGGATATCAGTTTCCTGGAGTACATTTAATGAATTTGAGTGTCTGAGGGGGGATTTCAAAGAATGCATCAAACAGCCACAGTGCGTGGAGCACATCGGACATCGGCTAGGTGCTAACTGCGTAAAGTCAAAAAACCTGATTTTTCTGGGGTGGGGGTCACAAATCCAAAAGGCTAAGAACACCGGTCTATAGAACTGCAGTCTGACATCAAGAGTTAAGGACCTATTGTCTTGTGTGCACTACATGCAAGATTTAGTTTCCACTCGGCTGAATTGAACATAGATTATGCATACTGACACCAAAGCCGTTGTAAAGGTTTGATTGGCAGAAAGTAGCTCTCTGTAATTCCCCACTACCGATACAAAGGCTGGCAGCCTACGGGTGTATAGTTCTAACATATTAACCACAACATCCTTGGCCCTACTGGGGACATTTGTTGCATGTCAGCCCCCCCATCTCTGTTTCCTTTCATTTCCTGTTGTCTCTCGTCTGTGTCTAAGCTGAAGGTAGAGAAGCTGTCCCAAGGATGTGTCCTGACTGAGAAAATGTTATACATCCAATGACATGTTTTTCTTTAAAGGAAAAATCTGATTATTAACAACTTGGGTTTACACTAAAGAATTCTCAAATCAGTGTCCGCTTAACTCTGTCCGAGAGCTTTCGAATCAATTAGAGTCAACTTTGGTCAGTTGTCATGGAATTGATCAAACTTTCCATTATTCTGAACTCTTTAACCCTTAGATGCACTTAGAGTGACTGGACCCTACTCTTCCATAAGTGGGTCAAAAAGGACCCGTATTAGAATAATGTGTTTTTATGCCATTTTTGTCATTTTGGTTAAGAAAAATCACTTTGGTTCACACTAGAAATATTTTATATTTAATTTTGCACTATTTATCATTTTAGACATTTTATTTACATTTTGAAAAAAAAAAGAAATTCCATAGAAAATGCATGCGGGTCATTTTTGACCCACTTATGGAAGCTTGGGGTAGAAATACAAAAACTACAATTTCTTAAAATGTAAATTACAAATTTGAATGGCATGATATCCAAAACATGTTTTTTGAGGAATAGCTGGAATATGAAATGACAAAAAAAATGTAATTACAAAGATACTTCAAGAAAACCACCTCACCGGGTCAAAAAACACCCACTTATGCATCTCACCCCCAGTTTCCACTGGGTCAGTCTGCGCCGCGCTGCGTCACGGCTGCACCGCGGTTTTGGTCCGACCTCCTCTAGCGCCATAACCCACCGGACACGTCCCAGAAGCGTTTCAGAAGCGTAGCGTCGTGCGTGCAGGCTTGCAGTTTTGTTATTGATTTGGGCATTCTGGACATTTGTACTTCTACAAGAAAGTAAGTAGGCTACGTAGTTAAATGTTTTATTTGTGTGTCTGTTTAAATTGTGTTTATTTAGACTCTGTACTGTACCTACAAGTATTAATTAACTTTAAAACATTAATATGTAGTTGTTACCTTCCACTTCACAAACTGCAGCGACTAAAAACCAGGCCTTGTCCTTTCTGATGTTGTCCTTGTAGTAAGCATTGGTTACATCATATAAAATAGTGTGTTTTTCCACTTCCATGATGAAAACCTCGTCGTCCATTGTGCGTATCGTAGTGGAGGTGTTGTGATGAAGGAGGGGAGTCTGCTAAATTAGTATATGTGGGGGATGGGCCTGGCCCGGATGTTCACCTTTCCACTTCCTGCGAGGGGGGGCTGCCTGCCCGACCTTATGTTACGGCTGCGCCTCGGCAAAAATAGGATTCATCCTAATTTTAGAGAAGCGCTGCGCCGAGCCGCTTCTGGGACGCGTCTGAGCCGTAACGCGGCGCGTGTGGTGGAATAGCACCCATTGACTAGAGTGGCCGCGATCCTTACGACCGCCGCGGCGCAGCCGTAACTTGGCGCAGTGCGGCGCAGACGGACTCGGTGGAAACTGGGGGTTAGGGTTAAGGATCCTCAATCAGTTAGATCTGGTAGGTTAACATTACCAGAGGACCAAAGTACACACATGTTCATAAATTGCTGCAGATAATCTCATATAGCACCAGAGCCCGGTGGTATGTAAGGCATGTCTTTAGCCGCTTGGTTAATAATTGTACTGCCTGCTTACGTCTTTCATCAAATGCTGTCTGTCAGCTTGAGCTGGATTGATGTTCAGTGATACTACCACATTTATAGATCCTCATCCATAAACAGTGAGTAAATGACTATCATAACCATAGAACAGATGCTATGAGTTGTGACAATAAAAGTCAAGTTGTAAGAAATTATAGTTTTCCTTGAATCGCAACTCCTATACGCGAGCTGTCACTTTATACATGAATTACAAATATTCTATTAGTTATGTTATCTTGGGGAGCGAGGTGCTCATCGGGATTGATGAACATTCAAACACACAATCACAGCCCTCAGGAGCAGTTTAGGGTTCAGTGTCTTTTACAAAGACCTTTCTTCATGCCACTGATACTGAGAGAACCACATCCGCCCCACATACCATCTACACCACATGTGCATACTTATTATGACTGGCTTATTACAAAGGCAATTCAAAGGAATATTAAAAACATGTTTTCTTGCAGATATGATGACAGTTAGATGAAGTTTGAGGGAGGGAGATCATTATTCCAAATGCTAGATGACTTGTTTATATGACAGAGGTCCAACACTGAATGATTTGATAACCTCGAAATCCAGGAAAAGTGATCTTCAACAGGACATAACACACAAATAATGAAGTTTTAAGGTAACTGCAAACGACACACAGCTGTATACTTCTTCTCTTAGCTTGAGCATAATACAGATTTGATGAATCTAAAGTAAAGTATGGAAAAGAAAGGAACAATTAAGCTCCTTTTTGGAAATAAGTATAAATAATTAATAACTTTTGTTTCTTGAAAGCAAAAAACAACGTGTCCTGTAATATGCTTCACAGAAGTATGCTGTGGGGTTTCCCAGAGGGTGAAACTAAGATGCTTCACCCCTGTTTTTCACCCATCTTCAAGCTGTATGGTATGCTGATATGTATTACTGATATTGATATGTATTTTGATAGTTAATTAGAATATTGAAATTATTTGTCATTGTAAACAATTTCTCAAATTGATAAAAAAGACGTGTTTTAAAAAAAAAGAAACCACATGTATACGCAAGCAACGGAAAGCAACTCAAACTTTGCCTGCTTTGAAGAAAGCAGTCAGGTAGTGGGTGCTGGAGAGCGTACAACACTACCAAAGAAAAAGTTTGTGGTTAGATACCCGGCCCAACGACATACTGGCGCTCGTATGAGTGCGATTTTTAGAATACAGTCTGATGGGACGTATTCTCCTACCCAGGGTACAATAATAGCTCCATTTACAAGCCAAATGAAGGTACACATTTGCAAAAAGCAAGAAGTTTGCATTACTTACGCGCTAAAAACAAAACAACAATAATCTGTCTGCTGGCTGGTAAGTGGTAACTAACACCTTGCTCCTACCCAAAGACCAAACTGCCATCAGGCCATGTGCTGTAGGACATAAGAGCAGGGAAATACCTCTTGATGATTTTGTAATGTGTTCCTTGTGGAGTGCCGGGACCAGGATCCCAACTCAAGATATGGCGGAAGTTGACAGATTCCATAGAAAGATTGACCGGAGCAGGAAGGGAGCTGATAACTGTGTTAACAGGAAGTACATGATGGAGTCAGAGCTACGAAGCAGCACAAGGTACAAAGACACACCCGGCAGGACACATTAAGGACTCGTCAGATCTGATAACAGTGAGCAGTGTAGAGGAGAACAGAATCTGAGGTATTTGACAAATGTTTACGTAAATTAACTGATCTGATTGATCTTGGTTTACTTACCAGAATCAAGAAGTGACATGAGATAAAGAACTAGAGGCAGGCAGTCCATCCTTTCCTCACAAAGGCCCGGGCAGTGTGTGTCTCTCAGCTTCCGTACACGGCATGGTTACTGTGGAGAACAGAGCACAGGGATCCTTAGATCAGGTGTGAACAACTCACTTACATGGTAAACAGGCAGAGGTGGATAAAGTACTCTGATCCTTTTCATCAGCAAAATAAAAATACTAAGGTTTTTAAATACTCCATTACAAGTAAGAATCCGGAATTCAGACTTTTAAAATACAAAAGTATCAGGATCAAAATGTACTCAAAACACAAAAAGTAAAATAACTAATTTTGCATAATGGCCAGTAACATCAAGTGCAGAAGTATTATCAACCAAATGTACTGAAAGTATCAAAACTAAAAGTACCCTTTATGCAGAATGGCTCTCTTAAAGTATTTCATTATAAGATAATGTTATATTATTCTGTTTTTATGTATTCAAAAATAATCTTTCCATTCTTTTTTTTAAAGCTTAAAATGTCGTTTATTAAAGCTCACGCAATGTAGACAAGGACATGAGGCTCATGAGTACTAGTACTAGCAGTGTTGGAAGAAGTACTTTACTTAAGTAAAAGTACAGTACATTATTAGCATTTAAATATACTTAAAGTACAAAAAGTAGAAGTACTCTATCTGAACTATGGCTTATTTCAAAAATACAAATGTAGATATTTAGATGTAGTTTGAATTACAGTACTGCATTTTACCATATCATCATATCATGTGTTTGACATGTACAAAGTAACTACGTAGTAACTGAGTGTTAAATAAATGTAATGAAGTAAATAGCAAAATAATCACCATTAAATTGATATACTCAAATAAACTACAAGTATGTCAAAACATTACTAAAGTGCAATACTTCGGTAAATATGATGACACCACTGTATATCATAATAATGTCCCAAATACTGGCTATGATGTTTTTATTAACAGAGTTTAGGCTGGCATAACTGATCAACAAAAAGTGAACTTAACTTAATTCTAACATCAAGGGAAACACAACGTAGTATTAGTAATACACTTTACATTAGCGCTTATCTTCTGATGAAGTTCAATGCTAACTTAGTTGCTGTATTAGCTTACAGTTGTTCTCCTAGTCATAGTAAATACAGGTTGATCCGCATTTACAGAGCGGTAGGCTGAGTGGAATTTCTGTTTTTGTTTAACTCTTATAAACAGTACTGTTAACTTATAGGTAAAACACAAACTAACATCCCCTCCATGACATTGACTCTTCAGTTAACACTCACCGACACACCGCTGCTGACAGGCGTTTCAATGTCCAAGAAAGAAAAGCGAAATGTACGTGCTGTCAACATTGTGCCCAAAGTGACGTCAGAATACACCGAAGATACATCTACTTCCTGTCGCGCCTTCAATGTAAAAGTCTTACTGTGAAATACCTGTGACAACATTTCAGTGAAAATACAAAAGGAATGTACTGCAGCGTAGGTTTGTCACATAAGGTTCATTGAATCGTTCTGTAAAATCTTTTATACACTTAATTCCCATGGCTTTCGATGTATTAAAGTACCACTTATTATACCTTTCTCTGTCTATGTTAAGTATGTAATGTTACCAACTTTACCTGATCTTGTTATCTCATATTTATGTAATACCTTAGCAGCATGTACTCAGATTATTTACAGTGCTTTAGTAAATGTACTTAGTTACATTACACCACTAGCAGGTAGGCTAAGCATAATGGCCAGCATGGATATCATTTTGCATAATGGAAAATTGTTGTATTAGATATGGCTTTTAAAAAGTGGTCCCTATAATGATATGTTGTAGTCTCCATCTGACGTGATGACAAACGTCTTCGGTGTTTTCCAGGCTGAGCAGTGAGCATGTTACCTTGTAATTGGTGCAGTGGCCACAAGAGGGCGCTAAAAGAAAGGGTAAAAACGCAGCTCTCCATTACATAAGCCTTTATGCATTGCACAGACAACGAGAAGGTCCAGTCCCTGGGGATCAGTGTAAAACGGTCATGTGTTATCCTCTGACATGTTTTATACTTTTTCTGTGATATTAGAATTATCCCCCAGAGAGGCTTTTGAGTGACACCTCATTTCACTGCAGAAGTGGCAAGGCAAGGCAAGTTTATTTATATAGCACCTTTCAACACAAGGCAATTCAAAGTGCTTTACAAAAAACGAAAGACATTAAGAAAATGGCATTTAAAATCAGTCATTAAAAAGAAAAGATAATAAAATAAACATTAAAAGAAAAAATACATGGATAAAAGTTACAGTGCAGTCTAAGATATGAATAGTTCAATTAAAAGCAGCGACAAAAAGAAAAGTCTTCAGCCTGGATTTAAAAGTAGTCAGAGTTGTAGCGGACCTGCAGGTTTCTGGGAGTTTGTTCCAGATATTTGGAGCATAATAACTGAACGCTGCTTTACCATGTTTAGTTCTGACTCTGGGGACAGAAAGCTGACCAGTCCCTGAAGACCTGAGAGATCTGGATGGTTCATAATTTAGCAGGAGGTCAGAAATGTATTTTGGGCCTAAACCATTCAGTGCTTTATAAACCAGCAGCAGTATTTTGAAATATATTCTTTGACACACAGGAAGCCAGTGTAAAGACTTCAGAACAGGAGTGATGTGATCCACTTTCTTAGTGTTAGTGAGGACTCGAGCAGCAGCGTTCTGAATTAGCTGCAGCTTCCTAATAGATTTTTTAGTGAGACCTGTGAAGACACCATTGCAGTAGTCGAGTCTACTGAAGATAAAAGCATGGACAAGTTTTTCAAAATCCTGCTATGACATTAGTCTTTTAATCCTAGATATATTCTTTAGGTGATAGTAGGCTGATTTAGTAACTGTTTTAATGTGACTGTTGAAACTCAGGTCAGAGTCCATGACTACACCTAGATTTCTGGCTTTATCTGTTGTTTTGAACATTGCAGACTGAAGCTCAGCGCTAACTTTTATACGTTCTGACTTGGCTCCAAAAACCATTACCTCAGTTTTATCTTTGTTTAATTTAAGTGAAGAAAAAATGATTTAAAGCTGCAATATGGAATCTTCATTTGAGGTTTTTGGTGCTTGTGATCCAGTTCCCAGCTGGTTGATAACATGTTTACATTTCTAAGCAGCAAATCAGGCTCCACTTGATATTCCACAACATCTTCATTTTTTTTCAAAATAAAATTGACATTTCAAGTGTTGTTAGTTATAGTGGTCTATAACAGCAGTCCAACATTGACCATTTAGCTAGCTAAAGGAATCTTCTCACCCCATCACACACTGATGAACACAGACGTGGGTACGGAAGGAAGTTACATCATACTGAATGCACCTGATCCCAAATTCATGTGAATGGAATAAGTAGTTATTGTTCAGACATATATCCATCTGCTATCACAGGTAAAATATTATAATACACATTTTTTATTATATATATATATATAAATATATGATTATAATTATTAATCATAATCATAACAATAATCGTTTTATTATTGTTATTTTTTCATTTTTAGTGAGAAGGCGAGCATAATTTGGGTAAATAACTATCAGAGATTTAGCAATAATTCCTAATGGAAATAACATACCTACCTCACAGTGTTAATTGCTGAAATGTGGAAATGTAACGACAAAAGTAAATGTTCTGATCTGTTGCCTGTAGTCAATAAACCCTAATTTATATTAAATGATAACATTTGGTTAATGTCCAAAGCCAAATATTTCTTTCCCATGTCTGAACTGGCAGCTTCGTCATGGAGGGACACAAGTCTCCTGTGTCAGCGTCACACTCTTTGTTGGTCCATTCTTTACAGCCAAAGCTTTTCCACAATAACACTATCTCCAGCTTCTAGACCCTGTCTCTTAGTGTCTGATTGCCACGGTTGGGAGGGTTACTATAAAAATGTAATTCATTACAATAGTTACATGTCACAAAATGTGACAATGTAAGATGTTTTTTAATTAAGTGTATATGTAACCTTAGAAAAGAAGAAAACAATATATCTAATATCAAAAGTGTAACAGTAATAGTTTACAAATGCCGTTTAAACGTAATACATTATCAAAAGCAAACTGTATTTTTGTTTAATAAATCAGGTGTCCACCTGCTGCATTAAAAAGACAAATGTATTTAAAATGAACAATAATTAAAGTAGCCTAAATATAAACCATAAAGACAATCCATTCAGTACGTCTACCTATAATATATCTATCTCTATTTCTAAATGTATTGTAATAATGCTAATCTCAATTTGTAATAATATTTTTACAATGTAATTGTATTCCAATACAGTTCCCTTTTTTTGTATTCTGATTACGTACTCCCATTAAATGTAATCCATTACTCATCATGCCTGCTGACTGCTCATGTTTCTTGTCCTGTTGCCATGACCTAAACATGAACTTTGGTGAGTACATAGAACAAATGTTTATGTAGCATGTTTAGAAATGAGCAATATGGTCAAAGAAAGAAAGACTTGCACTGAAATGTGGTCTTAAGAAAGCTACAAATGATCAAATTGCAGCAGATACACTGAGTAGTAATCACCAATGGGAGCTTCAACAACATAGATGAAGCTAGAAAGCTGAAATCTGAAGTTTTACACGGGAAAAAAACAGAAACAACCAAAAAAGGTTTTATAACAAATCTTTTATTTTCTCAGGCTATACAGAGGGATAACGTGTGTGGGCAAAAGGAACAATCCACATCGTCTTTCATGATAAACAAATTAGCTCCTGGAATCTTCTTAAATAAGCCAAATTATATACAAATCAAACCTCTCAAGCCAGTCCTGAATACACAAGCCGTTCTTAAAACAGTACACGATTCACTCAACATGTCAACAGTTGTACAAATGCAGATCTGCTGTCATGTGTTCCAACCTAAGGCGCATTAGCCTTGGCTTACACATTACAAATCTGTGTTTTACATTTGAATAATTACATTCCCTGATGCATTACTTAAGGTGCGGTGATGAAGATCAAGACAGAGAAAAAAAGAAAGAGAAAGAAAAGGAGGTCGAGGCTCCAACACAAGAGAGTGATGTCGAACCCAAAAAACCCAGTGATCTCATTTTCAATCATTTTGTGGTGGAATGTTCCAGACGTTTTAATGCTGTGCTGAAGGGAGCATGAGCACCAAGTCTCATGGCCTGCTCTGAACATCCTGTCTGAAAAGCATTAATAGGTGTGTAATCACCCCGTTCACCAGATGGGAGTGACTAAATGCGGATTTCTCGGTAAGAGCAATAATGTTATGGGTGGGTGAACTCCCTGTCTGTTCCTCTGCTGAACACTGGCTGTTAAATGTTGGCGCAAAGGCAACAAAAAGGTGTCTGGAACGCCTTTCAGTACCAACTACTCTTTACTGAGCAACTTGCCATGCTCTGGCTGTATTCTTTTCCAGATGGTAATCATCGCAGTTACACAGGCATTCATTTTGCCTGTTGCATAATGAAATGTGTTTCCATTCAACAAAGAAAGAGCCACAGTTAAGTCTTGTTTCGGAAAAGGGGCATGGTAAAACTCCCAGGCCCAGGCGGTATAGTCATCATCCTGTTTCCATACCCAAGAGTTAAAGAAACAGTAATGCCACATTTCCACAGCATGGCACAGCCGCTAGGGCTCTAATCAGCTCCACTGGCAATGTTTGGTTTCCATTTGCAAAAGTTGTTTATACTTTCTTTGGGAACACCATGGTCGAGGTCCGAAGTGAGGTTAGCCAAAAAAACAAAAACAGGGTGGACCACTGATCGATCATAGAGAATTGTCACAGGAAACAGACATGAAGTAATGATATTATCCATACAATTCAGGAAGGACCTCTGTTTTGGTTGCTAATGAAAGGATTCTGCAAGTGTCTTGTTGACAGTGCAGAGGGTGGTAGTGTCTGCAGTTGAACACAAAATCAATAAAAGCACCAGGTACCAAAAGAGAGCCTTACCATGAAGTGGAAAGAAGCAGCAAGTGCAAATGTTGCAAGTGTGCAGCTTTAACAAATAACACGGCAGGAACAAATAAAGTACACACAAAACTAAATAAAGACAGATAAGCTCAAATAATGGCAAGTGTCATAGAAGAAGGCGACTTACACAGCATGATGGAGGCCACTAATGTGCCTTTGCAGTTCCATTCAGCCTTCATTGAGCTGTTTTCAGTAAAAGGCCACTGGACAGAGTGTGCTCAGCATTAAGCAGCAGACAGACACAGTTAGAGACCAGAGGGTAAACAAAGTGGAGCAGTAAGCAGCTAAACAGAGCTAACATAATAGTATAGGACTTACATTTGACATAAACATACAAAACTAAATAACTGAAAACTGAAAAATAATTCAGGTTGAAATCAAATTTTAGAATCAATAGTTGCAGTAGCGACAATAGACTCATGGCTAATGTAAAATATGCAATGTAAGTTTTAACGCATCTAAAGTAGCACTGTTCTGATTTGTTCTAATTACCACATTGTTCTTGGTATATAAATTAGAGGCACTCAACATGGTGCAAAATCCTGACACAGTGTTTCATCCCTGTTCCTCTGGGAGTAACTGGACAAGCATCTCTTGTCCTTTCTTTTTTTTCAAATGTTTGCATCATGAAGCTGTTTTAAAACTCTTTGGATGAGTTGATCCCTTAAATATAGAAAACTATAGAGTTATTAAGTTATACACCGTGAGACTTTTGAGCAACTTTGTACTGCACACATTCTATCTGTTAATGTATCACTGTGATGTTGAATTAAACCCAATCATTCATGAGTGAAACATTTACTGTGAAGTTGGCAAAAAGGAGATGACACACACCCATGTTGCACACACACACACACACACACACACACACACACACACACACACACACACACACACACACACACACACACACACACACACACACACACAAGGGTGATTGAATGATCTGCGGAACAGAAGTGTTGGCCCTGGAATCTGGGTTGTGTTTGTGAGAGCAGCTTTAAGCAAGTCTCTCACAGGATATGAGCTGGAACCAGAGAGCAGACAAAAGCATGAAACAACCTTGACTTCTTTTTTTCCAAACTCTCCTGTAATCCCTCTCACATTCAGCGTAAGTGACTGCAAATACTATCCAGAGACAAAACGCAGACCACTGAGGAAGTTCAGGGAAATTCAGAGTGACGCCTGCTCTATCCTTAAAGAGAGCAGCCATCTTGGCTCTTAGCGTGCTAATAAGTGCATAACTCAATCAACTAAACAGTCATTGTCCTGATCCAAACACAGTGCTATTAGTTGCCTGGTGACATAGGGTCCTAACAATCTTGTTAATTGGCCGTCCATTCTAACCTGTTACAAAACAACTTGTTTTATTAGGCCATCTGCACTCAATAAGAGCAGCTGGGAAAACGCAGCAGCCTACTGCGCCTCCTCATACCACAGCAGACTGACACAGTCCTTGTCCTCCATTTTTCTGTTTACTTATACTATCTTCTATGTTTTTGCCCCGGACAGCTGTCCTAATCTGGACAAAAGACAATTAGACTATAATTTACTTTAAATATATATCTTTAACAAAGTTAAACCACTTTTAGAGCTCCCTTCCCGACTGAAGATATCCTCCAGCCCCGGTGCACAGGCTGACCCCACACTGGATTGTTTGGACAGGTTCCAGCCAGTGTTCACTGGAATCAGCTGCCACAGAACATCTTGTTTTTTATTGTGCTCTATTGATCCCTGAGGCATGCATTTGTTCTTTTGCTTTCTCCTTTCCCCACAGCAAGTCATTTATTGAGACTGCAGCATGAAGGTGAACTACAAGAGCCGCCACATGTTGCAAATTAGAACTGTAGATACAACGCAGACATCTATAAACCCTTTACAATTTACTAAATATGGCATGGCTTTAATCCAGTTGGATAAACATTCTTTAATCCAGGGCTGCATTAAACCTCGGAGTTAAAGGGGCATGGGGCCCCTAAGGACTCTCTGTTACTTTGTAAAAACCCTCGTCCTACGAAAATGCCTCTGGTGGTTCTTATTAACAGTCTTTGTCCTTGTGTTATGCTGTGTTCAAACCAACGGTGCAGAGCAACACAAGTTTGACCGCGGTATGTATTGCTAACACGCTTATCTGATTTACTACAGCAGTTTGAACCAAAGACAACCCAATTTTGCTGTTGAAACTATATGATGCAGATTTGAAGGGTTCTGACTTTATTTCCGTCCGCAAGACGCCAAGCAAACCGGTTTTAAAACACTTGTTTTCTCAATGGAGCTCGATCAGGTCTATGCTAACAATGTAGCCTCTTCGCCAACACTACAAATGAAGTCATCTAAATAAGGAATAAATGCGGCGGCCATGTTACTGTTATACACGCCATGTTACTTTAAAATCGTGTTAACTCATCCACATGTGGGGCGTTTATGATTATTTATTGATCATAGCCAACACAGCTTTCCTTCATTTCTGATCAAACAACGTCATGATGTCAGCGTCAAACTAACTCATCGACCAAGTGGCAAATGTTCAATGGTCCGGGCGCGACTCGAGAAAAATGTGCTTCACTTTTGGGATTAAAACCTCATTAATACATCAAATCAATTAGCCTGGGACAGGATTCTCATCATTCACATCTAGCTACAATGCACTGGGGGAGGAACACATCGTTAATTTCTCAGTTTCTCCACTGATATATTCAAGTTTCTCTTTCCACTCATCAACTGCCTTCATGTCAATCAGAAACAACTGCCTTGATATATCTGACTACACCTGGATGGGCGAGGAGCTAACACAATATTGGCAGCTGTTAGTGGGGTCTTGAACATATCACCCTGTGGATATTATTGTTGTGGTGTATGATTCCGTCTGGACAGTTGTAGCTACACTGTGGTTACACTTGTCACATGTTCACCTGCTGGGTGTCATCGGATCAACACTTGAAAGCTGGGCTACAAAACCAGCTTGAGCTCACAACGCTGTCAAGTGTTCCGGATCCAATGTGAAAATTGGCAGTTGGAAAGAAAATGTTCAAGGCCAGATGTGGACACGCAGTGATGTGACCTCCATAATAACTTGTGTTATAATGTCAGGCGTAACCATGGCCTGTATGGCATCCAGCTACCTATTGTCAGAGTGAACACGGAGAGTAGTATTTACGAGAACATCTGCAAATAAGCCGCTAACACTCCATTTAAGAGCTTAAAAATGTAAGCTCTTATTGAGATTATAAGAAGGTTTGATGAGATCCAACATTAGCTCTAATAGTGAACCATGTTAACAGCTTGTTCTTGTATAAGCTTTTTTCCATGAACTCATTCCTCCGCATAAACATATTTGGTACCTCCTAGTAAGGCAAACTTTTAAATGGTTTTTACTTTTTCTAGTAAAAAAACAAAACTTTTTCTAGTTACTATTTTTGCCTTTACAATTGGTTAACAAATGATTGACTAATGCTTTATGATCACTTAACAGCCATTATAATTAGAAGTTGCCAAGTTGCTTAAATTACTTTGGCTATAAAGAGTGTCAATGTTATAATCATTTAATTTAAACGTAAATAATTTAATAAAGTAATTATCGACTGACTTTTATAATTAACTTTATTTTGCTTATTAGAAAGTAAAATACCAATATTTGTTCACAACCTGGCAACCCAAAACTCACTTACCTAAAAACGGGCTTATGTCTTCTTCCTGCCATGAATGTGGACATGGGAAGAAATATTTAAATTGTAATTCCCTCTTTCTCAGCTCACAGCCCTACAGTATGATCCATGAAGCATTAGTACATTGTTAAGCATTTATATTGTGCTTACATGATAATATTTCCGCATGTAAACACACCATGTATCTACACCCAAATATGAGCTGCAGTTCCAAAACATTAGCACAAGTAAAGCATCGCATAGATAGACTTGAGAATCAAGGTCGTTACAGCTTCAACATTATTTATGTTGTATAAGGATACCAACAATATTCTAAAGAAAGGCATGACTAGGTAGCTTCTGTTAACGTTCTCAAACCTTGTGTTTGTGTGTTTGTCTGCATTATCTTTCAGGGGTGGGAAGCAAACATGTGACAATCCTGGAGTCAACATTCTCCTTTGAGGATGAACATCAGGGGGAGAGGGATGTCAGCCTCTCTGGAGCCCCGGCTCAAAGCCACCTGTAGGCCAGACTGACAGTACAGCAGCCTGTCAACCAAAAGGGTCTTATATTCCACATGTGCAACTTCTCCTACAGTACATCCAGCTGTTTGGTAACTCCTGCGCACCAGTTGTCCCTTGTACTGCATGCATGGGCCTGAATACACTGAAGACACTGAACTGAAATGTCAACAAATTACACATAACTGAATAAGGTTATGTGTAAGCAATAATATAAGGTTGAACCTAATACTTTTATTTCAACGTAATATTATTACCTTTAATTAACCTAATACAAATGTGTGTAAATTGTTGACATAATACACTTAATTAAAGTCAACGCTTTCGTTTTTTCAGTGATAGGAGCGTGTTGTTGTTAGTAGACAAACGTAAAAAGCAGTGGAGGCTCTGAGGCCTGCTCACTGGGGTCTGTAGGGTCACCAGGAGTATCAGTGGATGGCAGAGCAAGGGGTAAGGCCAGGTGGGGGAAGTGCTGGGAGAGGGTGTGAGCAGGTGGTCCCAAAACACTGTACGCCTTCAGGGCAGAGAGCCCGTTGAGAACTGCTACATCCAGAAAGGTCACGTGGAGGGAGGAGGAGATGTCAAAGGAGAAGGTTTCTATCTCCATCGCAAGCCCCGCTGCTGGGGAGATGGTCATCTCCTGGTGGGGGTAGGGGGCCTCTGGGACTGCACTGTGGATCCTGAGGGTCTGCAGACCCAGCAGAGCCAGGTACTGACTGTCCATTGGTTTTATTCCACAAAAAGACAACCGCAAATGGCCAACCCTGCTGCTGTTCAGAAGCTCCTCCAGGACCCAGAGTTCCTTCACCCACACGGTGAGGGTCCCGGGCTCTGTGAGGCCTGCGCGGGGGAGGGCGGAGCGGGGGGCCGTGTGGCACCTGCACAGCGAGTTGGCCAGAGCCTCGTCACAGTCCCGCAGCGCCGCGGAGCAGCTGCAGTTCCGCAGGCTGGTGCCACTGTCAAACAGCAGCGTGGTATTGGCCGGCGGAGGAGCTTCAGAGGAGAGGGCGGAGCTGGTTGTCCGGGTGACGGGGGTCAGGAAGAACAGCAGCCAAAGTGACCATGGGAACAAGACAGAGGAGACGGTGTTTGGAGACATCTCCATGGAGATCCAACAGACTACATCTTCACAAAGTGGAGCGACAGGATTGTAGAGGAATGGGCGAAGCTGTAAAGAAATGTTTGGAAGAATAAAGTTAGAATCAGAGTTAGCATACCTTTATTCGGGGAAGCACATTGTGACAGCAAAAGTGAAGAGGCAAAATATTAATTAGGAGGCATGCATAAAATATTAGAGATAGAAATGATACGAATCACAATTTACAAAAGTACCCATCCAGGTGGAAAACAATAAGTAATTTGTTTTATAAAATAAAGTTAGTCGAGCGTGTGGCGTAGTAGTCTAGTGTGATAGCAGCCAGGTAACAGTAGTGAAAGTAAAAGTATATATTGCAGATTTATTACAGATTGTGTTAGCATAGTTGCGTAGTCTAAATTAGAGATAGAAGCCAGTAATAATAATAATAATAAAGCGGTATATTTAACTTTATATTGCACATACTGTAAAGTCTAGTTGTTAGCTCATAGAGTCCTATTGTGAACTCGGAAATGTTGAGCACCCCAAAGTTTTATGTTAGAAATGTATAGTACGGCTACCCAGTTCATAGAAAATGCCGGGTGCTAACTATTGGTGGGATGTTGGGCAATTAGCACAATTAGCACAAGTTGCGTATTTAGCATTAATTAGCATTATAGCTTACTGTATGTTGACAATAGTTAAAAACTGGCATTGCCGATTAGGTAGATTTTTGAGTGGTTTCAGGGATTATTGAGGATGCTGAATGCATTTCTGACATTTTCAGGATCCAAAATGGCAGTTTGAACCAGAAAGGCTGATTTTGATTCATTTTGGGTCGATTTTGAAGTTTAAGTGGACTCACGATCATCTGGATTGGACAAATTACTTATCCATTTGAAAAATAATTGTCCACAGTAGAGGCAATCATTTTCATCTTCTGCTCTCTATATCCAATGGTTGCAACACCACTCATAGAAGTGAAAATCGGCCCCCTGCGAATACAAATTATTGCTGATTAACGCAATGTATGCTAATTGTGCAAATTGCCAACATATGCAAGTTACCATCCAGCAGTTTCTTTGTGCTGGGGACCCGTATTATACATTGCTATCATAAAACTTTGGGGTACTCAACATTTCCGGGTTCACTAAGCTTGCAAGATTAATAATAGATGCTGCGCAAAAGTGTGTTATAGTCTTTGTTCTTATATATGTGGGGGTCTACATTTACACAAACAACAAATAAATACTGTGTAGTCAGACAGCAGTACTCGAATTACATTTTGATGCTAACTCTCATCAAAGAGCCGAGCTCAGTATTACCCCCCCCCCCCCCCCTTGACTCGCAGCAGTACTTTGCTTCACTAAAAGCACATGACACACAAAGAAAGTCTTTTTCTCGCTCTGTGCCCTGTAGTAACCTGCTTCTGCTTTGCGTCTGTGTTTTTACAACATGTGGAGGCCAGCTTCAGACCAACAGCCAACTGAAATCAGCTCTCTATTTCCAGTACAGCACACGCACACGCACGCGCGCACGCACGCACGCACGCGTGCACGCACAAACACACACACACATAATTGAGCCACTTATTTCTTGCTCTCCAATTTTACTAGAGAGGTCCTTTCAGGCCCCAGGCTACTGGGACGGCTGCTTATAAAACTTCCTGCGCCTTGCTGCACTGTGGTGAAATAGGCAGCGGCCAGCCACATTAAATGTTCCGAAATAATGAAACACTGGACTTTAATTCCCCATCAGGAACGGTTGAAAAGAGGACTGAATAAGCAGTCTTCATTTCCAGAGAAAACTTCTCCCCACCCTTCTGTTTAAACAGTGAAGCACTTTCCACTGTAAAGCTGGACAAAGTCTACTTGAGTCTGAAAAACATTTGCCACATATGGTACCAAAGATTACCATGTACTAGGCTCCTTACATTTTACTGATAAATCCGACTGTATTGGGTTGAATGTTAAAAGTCTAAGGGATGTTTATTTCATTACAGGAACTTTGATTTTAGTCAACACATGCCACATTAAAAGGCTTAGCTGTTTTACCTGTGCACTTGCAAATGAAAAGTGCTGTTGTTGATTAGTTTTGTATTTGTTAGATAGAAGATTGTGCCGCTGTGTGCACTCTTTGGTCTTTGCAATAATACTGCCCCATTTAAATATTTTGGTAAAAAAAAGAACCAACAACATAAAGCTGTGAAAGCGACTTCTCGACCGCAACTCAATTCTCCTGATTTTGATCCGTTATTGAAATTGAAACTGACAATAAACAGACATTGTTGTGAACAGGATAGCTTTGGTTGCACCGTTTAAGGCTGTTAACAATATCATTTAAAAAAAGAATATTGAATTATCACAGTATCATGATTTGAGGATTAAAACATATGTTCTTTTTGTATAAGACCCAGTCTCACGGCATTTCGTGTTATAGTCCCGAAATTAATTTAATCTATTGATTCGTGTTCACCAACACGAATTTCTCATTTTTTTCGTGTCACACAGAACGATTTTAAAAGCAATGTATTTCTATTGGTAGTATGTTTCGTGCCTGCACCACGTCTTTTTGTCCTGTCGGGTCTTGGAAGACCGGAAGCTGTGTGGTTCATAAAAACATGTTCTTACTCAATATCTTACCCTAAGCCTAACCCTTTTATTTTAAATAGTATAATGTCAGAGTTTTTTTGCCATCCGCGAGGAAGAGAAATGGGGCTCAGAGCCTCAGAATCCTGAAATCTGTATTTTTTTAAATCTTTTTTTCCTTCTAATTTGTTATTATTTACATTGCTTTTAAAATCGTTCTGTGTGACACGAAAAAAATGCGACCAAATGCCGTGAGACTGTGTTGAACATTTCCTACTTTGTAACTAACTTGCTATTATACCTAATTCTGAAACCAATTGAACCTGTGCAGGGTGAGGCAGATTCACATTCAGCAATCCTTTTTTAACGAGACCAGACCAAGTAACTTGTAATGTACACTAATAATTTACTCAAAGACTTCATGTGTATATTTATATGCTGTGGGTGGTTGGACTTGTTGACATTGACCTCTTTTCCCATCATGCCTTTTCCTCACTCATGTGGGATTCTAACAAAGTATTTAGCGGGTTTACTGTACAAGACGTACGCACATTTGAGGTGCCACTTCCCTTTTCTCTGCAGCCTGTGTACTATTCACATGGGCTACCTTTTAAAGGAATGTTCCCTAACTTTATTCCAGATTTCATGATGTAACCTTTTCGTAGAATGTGAAAAAAAACTTAATTAGCAATTAATTTATAGCACTTAAATATTAAGAGTTTAGAAAAACCACCATGAAGGATAAAAAAAACTATAGTTTGAACTTTGGTTGTGGATATGCATAATGTAAAAGAATAAAACCAACAACTAAATAAACACACACTGATTTAATTAATAATTCAACTCTTATCTTATGTTTTAGATGAGTTTAAATCCAATTTTACAGTTCAAACTAAGAACAAGATCATTAACTCTATTAACTTCTGCGGAACGCTGAGACACTCGCAAGCCCCGTATCTGGGCCCACAGAGTGTGCACACTTGAATTAAACACTGGCTTGGACAAGATACCAACTCCTGTCTTCTTCTCATTGAGAACTCAGTTTATCATTCATCCACAGAGCGTCCTGCATGGCCAGCTACTGGTCCCTCTAGCTCTGGTGCAGGTAACACGTCTACGCAGAACCGCTCATCCCGTCTACTAACACTTGTTGAGTGTATTGCTGGGAACCCCTGGACATGCAGTGTTGATGCAAATCAGCCTCGTTCTACGTTTGATATTATGAACCTTTAAGTTAACAAATGTTAGTTTAAAGTATTAATGGAGACGGTTATGGTCTTCTCATCGCTCCATTTGCTGCTGTTTTTCCTTTCTTCACACCTGGAGTGGAGGCATCAATAGAGGTTCAAGTCCTAGGCTCCCTTACAGGAGGATTTAATCACTATGTCTGTTTTTTATTGAACTTTGTTGCATTTAAATGTAATCGCTAAACAAACTTGTGCATAAAAACAGGTGGATGGAAAATATATGAATGTAAATGTTATCTTGTTTTCATTCAGGAAATGACCATTTGTATATATTACAGCTCTTTGACCAAGTGGGAAAGAGTACAAACATTTGACTTTAAAGAGGCTCTATTCTGCTCACTCTGTTTCATATTAGTATGTAGTGTCTCTACGGTGACATGTCTCCTTGCTTTAATGTTCAAAAAGCTCTTTATTTTTCTCATACTGCCTGTGCTGCAGACCTCTTTTCACCCTCTGTCTGAAACCAGAGCCCAGTCTGCTTTGATTGGTTAGCTGGCCGGCTCTGTTGTGGTTGGTCAACCTCTTAGAGCTGTCCCGCCCCTTAGCCTATCACATACAATGTGATGGAGCACTAACCAATAGAAGCGCAAGTGATACATAGTGATGTCATTACGTCACAGAAGTAAACAAAGGAGTCTAATGGAGGCATTCCAGGCAGGGTGGGTCACCCTGCTATAAATACTCTTGACTTCACTGAGGTTGGTTTACAGTAGCAGCTGCCCTCCACACACAGCCTGTCTCTCCATCCTTACCTCACTGCTTTTATTAGTCATCGTCTCCCAGCTGTTCCCAGCGTCTGGCTCTCCCACACAGTCATTTTCTCTCTTTTTCCATCTGCCTGTCCTTGCTTTCTCTAATGTCTCTCGCTCCTCTCCCTTTTTCTCTCCTTGTCTCCCCTCTCTTCCCTCTCCTCCGTTTTCTCTCTTTTCCCTTCCTTTCCTCCATCTCCATCTCTGTAATCCCTGAAACAAACCCCAGCTGCAGGACCGGATGCTGAGAGAGTAACTAAAATGAAACTAACCACTGAAAACACATTTCACAATACTTTAATGACAATGTGAGTCTTGCATTGAAAAAAGATTTATTATAATATTACCTTTAATTTCTAAATCATGTATGTACATAGAAAAATGTAAAAAATAAACTAGCTTAAATTTAACTTAAAAGTTATTGAGTGTAAACCTATCAACATTTGGATCCTGTGTGTATGTGAAAGCGAGTGTATGTGCGTGCATGCGGCACGCAGGAAGAGTTAAACAGGGTGAAGTGTGTGTGTGTGTGTGTGTGTGTGTGTGCATGTGTATGTGTGTGTGAGGAGAATCTTGAGGTGGCCGGGGCTCCACACGGCTCCACGGCTTGTTAAAGGAGAGGCTCAACACATTCCTCTGACATCATGCTCCACCACAGGCACCCACCCTAATCCTCCCTTCCTCTCTCTTACAGTCCCTCTCTTCCATGACACCCATCCCTTCCAATGTCTCTCACTCCTCTCCCTCAGCAGCTGCAGCTCCACGCGACTACAGAGACACATTGGTGTGGGTTTACTACATAAACAGCAAAATGCATTGAAAAGGGTTTTCTTTATCTTGCGTTGTGATAGTTATTTATACTGTTAAGAAAATTACAGCTGACAAAATGAAATTATCTTTAAAGGGACCCTATTCTGCTCATTTTCAAGTTCATATTTTATTTTGTGCCTCTACTTTGACATTTTCTATGCTTTAATGTTCTGCTCGTCAGGAGTGATAGCACATGCGATGGGGAGTAATAAGAAGTTCTGCATATATATAATAGCCACTTAAACATGCCATATTACATTTAATTAAGGTCAACGGTTCAGTTTTTTCAGTGCGTTGACTATATGAGCGATATACAGAGCGATATGCCGCCCATGTTCAGGTGAGCTTCTTACGATTACAAGAACAATGTTAATTCTCTAGTTTAGTTGATAGTTTTCATCTGTTCAAAACTTAAGAAATCACTCTGCTGGGTTTACAGGTTTCCCCAGCCACATTTCCAAACCACCCAACCCCTGCACGACGACAACAACAACAACAACAACAACAACAAGCATTGCAGAGAAAAAAAGTTACAAAACAAGCGTATTCCAAACAGCTTTGGCTATATATTCACAACAAGTTCCTGTGTTTGATTAGATAACACACATCAAATATTGAATTATTGCTTCAATACCTTTCATAAATACTTAATCGTTTTTTGAAAGCCTCTTTGATTTCCTTAAACAGCATAGTAGTTTCTGGCAGAAGTGTATTTGTTGGGGACTATTTTGATATATATTTGTTCAGGAGCGGATAATTACATAGTTATGGTATTTGGCCCATATGGCTCAGCAGAGGAGGATGCAATGGCTTTGGATAGACACACAGTTATTAAGATCAATTAACCGTTTGTTCTGGCACTTCAGTCATAGGACTTTTACCAAGATATACAAATATAGAATATCACTTTTCCTTTAAGGAATTCAACATAATAATGCATGCAGGTAAATACTAACATAGACCCTTTACATGTAATTGTTTTATATATAACCTCCTCTTGTCATGAAGTCATAAAACGTGTGGAATTAAAGATTATGCAAAACGATGCCATGTGCAAAATGTTTCAGTTGTGGTATGATAGTGAACACTGCAGCCTGTTCACGTGCTACTTACCTCCTCTCAGCCTTTCCCTACACTTGAATGCAGATCTCCATATACAGTGGCAGCTGCTGAAGCATTTTCTCGCAGGCGGTTTATTTTTATTGACTACTGTACAGTGGAATCAAGTTAGCAGGCTATAAAACAAAACTCTAGAGTCTCATAAGCGGCTAATCTCCAGCCTCTTGTTAGCGTAGTGGGATGGAAGGAGAGAAAACTTGATTTCCCCAAACTATTTCTCAGGGGTTTGAAAGAGAGCACAGCAGTAGTGGTTCCATGGCAGCCTGCATGTGTCTTCACAGTATTAGTCTCACCAGTCCTTTACTTTACATTATATTTCTCTAATTTAATGGTAATGAAATACATGTTATACAGGTGTAGATATTAGGTATAGAAATATGTTGTTATAACATGAAAAGTGTCTTGTTATGACATTTCACGATGGCTGTAAAAAAGGCCCAGATCAAAGATTTTGTCAACTCTTAGGATTATTATTACATTCGGTTTTTTTTATTGAAAAGGTAGAGTTCACCCTTAAAAAATAAATACAAATCTTTCTTTTACCTGTAATGCTTAGATCGTTATTGTGTGAGTGGCTGAGAATTGGAAATATCAGCTATAACGAAGTCTGCCTCCTCTCCATATAATGGAAGGTGGCACATTGGCACACAGCATTTTTCTAAAGAGAAGGCAGGGATCTGTAGGGTTAACATCTGCAACACTTACACCAAATCAATCCAGATTACACTATTTCATTTGTGATCAAATGTGATTATAGGTAAGACTTCACTTGGATTCAATTCCTTTCGTTGAGATTGATTCTCTACGGCTTCTACAAGGTTTTTTGGCTCTTAAGCACCTAGACACACACTGTATTTATGCTCGTCATGTCCCTAATATGAACAACATAGAAACTCTTCCTGGTCCGACCCATGGATGTACAAAGAAAACTCGATACAGCGTTGGAGGCGGGGTTACATTCATATGGAAGTCACTCAGACGGACCGAGTGCAGATTCAAAATAACCCAGAATTTTGGGTTTTGGGTCCATAGACCATGCGCACTTGAGTTTTCCTGAAGAGAGGGAAAATAATTCCTGATTCAACTCTTGATTCAGCTTTGAGCGTATTTTACAACTTTTAGACCCTAAATAAGGGCTATACAAGTGTTTATAATGGGTAGTTTATTTACTTTAAAAAAATGTCAGCTGATTTACAGACATCTCTTTCCCAATGTCAGACAATAGGAACAAATATAGAATGGAACTAGACTAGAATGGAGGTTTAGTTGAACATTTGGCCACAGAAACACGGTCGCCTGTTTGCTTCATCTAACGCCCCCGTCAGTACTAGGAGCAACATCATGTTCCTGTGTCGTCCAAAACAGTTTCAGCTGGTTTATGATCTGACATTGTTTGGTTTGATTTAGGCAAAAATACCAAAAACTATTTGGATCGGTTGCGAAGTGTTTTTTTTCGTCATGGTTATAAAACTTGGTTAGGGAACGATAGATGATGTGGTTGAGCCCCGAGCCTGTTTTTCAGGTCTCAGGCTCGAAAATGACATTCCCAGAACAAATGACCATATCTTCCCTTCTAAAAGGATTAAATTAATAATCTTTTTTCTCAAAGCAAGGTTACACCTGTGAGTTGGATGTAGAAGTGTCAGAATCAATATAGATGTTTTTAATTTAAAGTAAATTCAGATTGAACACAGTAAAAAAATGTAAATTATTGTGTCCGTCCAAAAAAATGAATGATGGGATGGTAGACTAAAAGCTTTAGGAATCCAAACCCTGTATCAAGATTGATGCAAAACAAGTGAAATCTGACCTTTTTAGAGAGATTTAGCAAAAAGAAACCACTTCTGGGGTCATTTGGGTGGATTTGACCTATCTCTGGCCCCCCTTGCTCGATTTTGCTGATTGACATCTCTTTCTAACCGTCAGAGCCAATGGAATCGAGGGGAACTCCCACATACTCCTTATTTGGTAATGTGTGTGTGTGTGAGACTGCCGCATAGCCAAGACCGGAAGCTGCGATAACTCTGGTGGCTACCATTAGCAGCTAACTTTTACTCTCCGATTTTTCCATCAAAATGGAATTATGGATTATAAAAAATATATATATTACACAGAAACATTATCAACCTATCAATTAACCGATTCAGCCGCGTTTTTTCTCGTTTTAATGCCATTGAACAAGTCTTTTGATCATATTGGTCATTGGTCAGTTAGCTGAGATTATTCCCGTTAATCTGGTATAACACATTAATAGGTTCTTAAATATTAAGATCCCCTGAGACACAGTGTCGTGAAAAAAAAAGAAAAAAGGACCCGCCGAGGGGGACCTTGGGGCTTAACAGGTTAAATAACCTTGACTGTGAGTAGGAAACAGGAAGTGAACAGCTGTCTCCTGAATTAAAGTTCATGCTTTATCCAAGCAAACCACCCTGACCTCACCACTAAAACAGCATCACCATTTCCTTCTATGTTCAGAGTCATAGTGACTGGGTTGGATTAATACGTTCCATTATTCTATAGTTTACATTTTACAAGGAGATCCTTTTGAAAATATTTTTCCATTTTACTTTTATCCAGGCTGTTTGAGGAGATGCTGATAATTCTGCAAAGATCATGGAAAAAGTGGCAGTGATATACCTTCTGCACAAACTAAAATAATATAAGTGTTAAGTAATGTCTTTTGTGATTTCGGTTAAATGACCCTTAAAGATATACATAACAAAACATTAAAAAAGACATGTGTAGGCATTGGACGGTTCATCTTCCTATCAGGCGATGGAACCTGAATGTTTGGTTTGGGCTGACAGATGACATCACAACTCAGCTGTCTGGACGTGTGTCCATATGTTTCTGATTTAAAAGATATACCCTGAATAACTTCCCACGGCAAATGTATTGCTCCCGGTGAATCAGTTAGAGGCAAAAGCACAAACAACTTAATTTAAAGCATGTGTTCAGAGTGTGCGCCATCAGCATGTGTACAGAGTGTGTATGCAGCAGACAGACCATGGAACAAGCCTCCCTCTGACAGCACATGCATGTGAGTGTGGCGTACTTACGTGGACAGCTCAGAGCCGGTTAGGGGGCATGCTGCTGCCGTCTGGCTCCAGGATCGTCTACCCAGCTCTCTGCAGGGAGGGCAGCAGCAGCTTCCACATGTGTCTGCTGGCTGGCTGGAAAAACTCATCTGTCTGTCTGACCACAGCAAAGAGAGGGGGAGATGGTCAGGATGGAGGGAAGGAGAGAGAGAGAAGGAAGGAGGGAGAGAAACACAGAGAGAGATCTTACTTTCTGGACCCCGGATGGATACACTTTGCTTCAGATGTGACAGCATGAGAGACTCAAACGCTCCGTTTTCTCCACTCACTTCTCATCTTTCTTCTCATTCCCTCTCTCCGCTGCCTCACTCTCCTTCTATTTTGGGACCCGCCTCTCATTTCCAGGCAGAAATTCTTCCCTACATGGAATGGCTGGATATGCTACCATCTTGTGGTAGAAATATAACTACTAATGAATGATGGCTGTTTGGTTTTCCAACATCCATTCTACTACAAAACATTGTGTTCTCTTTGCTAAACATAAATGGAGAATCATAGAGAAGAATGCAGCCACATAAATATAAAGCTTGAAAGGATATTTGAATTCAAAGAATACATATAATTCTCATTTTCAGCTACACCAAAATATATTTAAAGGGGCCCTATTATGCTCATTTTCAGGTTTAGTATTTTCTGTGACACATTTCCATGCTTTAATGTTCAAAAAGCTCTTTATTTTGTTCATACTGCCTGTGCTGCAGCACCTCTTTTCACCCTCTGTCTGAAACCAGAGACCAGTCTGCTCTGATTGGTTAGCTGGTCGGTTGTGATTGGTCAATTGCTTAGAGATGGAAATGTCCTGCTCCATAACGTACCTAGCCAATAGAATCGCAAGTGTTACATAGTGTCACTATTTCACAGAAGTAAACAAAGGAGTCCAATGGATGCCTTTCAGGCAGGGTGGGAGGGTGTGGGAGAGAAACTCCCTCTGGAGGGAACACAGGGATTTTAGCCTTTGCAGACTATTTACATGCACAGAAACCTATAACACACTACAGGAAAGGGAAAATCCAAAAAGCAGAATAGGGCCTCTTTAATAGAATGTTTAGTATATTCTATCATTGATTGCAATATTATAAATGCTAATTGTTATTAATTAGCTTTCACTGCGGTTCCAGGATTGATCACTACTACTACTCTCACAGTCAAACTCATAATGTGGTCTTTCAACAACATCCGACCTCTGCAGCTAATTCGGAAGGCAGCGGCTCAAATCCATCTACCTAATTTATTTCACACTACACCTCTCCTCCCTTTACTTTTCTGGCTGCCGAAATCCGCTTTAAGACACTGCTTGCTCACTGTGCTGTGAAGGGATCCATGTCATGTGTATGTGCACTGGCTCTGCATCCGCCAATCAGCTTGCTACTCCCTCACCGGAAACACTTTACAATAAGGTACACAAAATGTGCTTAGTTACTGAGTAGTGAATAAGGAACAACTAGATAGTTAATGGTTAGTTCACGAGGAGTTCCTGAGTGACTGCGATTGAAGAACTGATGGTTAGTTACAGACTGGGGGGTACTGTATTAATGAATATGTCACGATCTGTCTGTGTCTTGTCTTTTTCTGTCTTTGGTTTCCTGTTTTATTAAGTGTTCACCCCCTGTCTTGCCTGTTGCTTTCTGTCTGTGTTCCCTCCTGTCTGATTACCCGATTGTGTTCACCTTGTCCCTCCTGTGTTTTCTCCTCCCTCCTCACCTGTCTCTTGTTTCGTTGATTAGTCTTGTGTGTATTTAAGTTCTGTTTTTGCTGTCTGTCATTGTTGGTTACATTGCATTTAGCTGACACTTTTGGTTCCTTGTGTGTCTTTGACTGTGTCACGGGGTAGTGTTCTGTTTTTGACGTTTTTTGGCCTTGGAATAAAGGTATTTGTCTTTGCAATCTGCATTTGGGTCCTGCCTGCTTCACTCAACCCTGACAGAAGGAACCAACCAAGGATGGGCCCAGCAGATCCATTTGAGCTGGAATTACTAAGTTTTTCCTTTTCTTTGGCTTGCTGCCCTGATAGGTGGAGGGGAGCGTCCGGTGTTCAGCAGAGAGAGGCTGCTCTGGCAGAGGCGCACCAGATGGCTATTGAGAAACCATGCTTAGTGAAGTTCTTACCTGGCTGGATTTTGGACTTCCTCTTGGCGTGTGATTCCCGGCCTGCTAACCCCAGGCGTGCTGGCCTCCTGCCTCCCGGTTCCAAGCCTGACACCAAACGTCTCGGTGTGTTCCATCTGGAGTCAACCCCTGCTCCTTCCCCATGTCTTGCTCCTGTCCAGGAGCCGTTCTCGGTTACTCGTCTGGCTTTTGGAGGTCCACGGAGCCTCCAAAAGGCTCCTAGGAGAAGGAGTCGCAAGTCCAGGCTAGCAGCCCGAGCCCCAGAAGCCATACGTTGGGCTCCAGTTCTGGCCCCAGCAGCCATGGTTCCGGCCCCAGCAGCCATGGTTCCGGCCCCAGTTCTGGCCCCGGCAGCCATGGTTCCGGCCCCAGTTCTGGTCCCAGCAGCCATGGTTCCGGCCCCAGTTCTGGTCCCAGCAGCCATGGTTCCAGCCCCAGTTCTGGCCCCAGCAGCCATGGTTCAGGCTCCAGAACCCGCCGAAAAAGTCATGAATCCGTGCACCAGTACCGGCCCACACAGCCATGCTTCCGTGCTCCATTACCTGGCTCACACAGCCAGGGTCCAGGCTTCTGTTCCGTGCCCAACAGCCATGGTTCCGGCTCCAGAACCGGCCCCAGCAGCCATAGTTTCGGCTCCAGTACTGGCACTCCGGCCGACGCCAGCTCCCCGTGTCCTGCCGGCGTACCTGCCGACTCCAGCCCCTCGTCTCCTGTTGGCTCTCCGGCCGACGCAAGCTCCCTGTGTCCTGTCGGCGTACCGGCAAACGCCAGCTCCCCGTGTCCTGTCGTCATTCCGGCCAACTCCAGCCCCCCGTGTTCTGTCGGCGAACCGACCGTCTCAAGTCTCCTCTCAAGTTCCTTCTCAAGTCCCCTCTCGAGTCTCTTCTCGAGTCCCCTCTCGAGTCACCTCTCAAGCCACATCTCAAGTTCCCTCTCGAGTCCCCGCTCAAGTTCCCTCTCGAGTCCCCTCTCAAGTCACCTCTGGAGTCCTCTCTGGAGTCCCCTCTCTAGTCCCCTCTGGAGTCCCCTCTGGAGTCCCCTCTCGAGTTCCCTCTCGAGTCTCCTCTCGAGTTCCCTCTCAAGCCTCCTTTCAAGTCACCTCTCGACTCCCCTCTCAAGTCACCTCTCGAGTTTCCTCTCATGCCTCCTTTTAAGTCACCTCTCGAGTTCCCTCTCAAGTCACCTCTCGAGTTCCCTCTCGAGTCACCTCTCCAGCTCCCTCTCGAGTCCCCTCTCAAGTGCCCTATCGAGTCTCCTTTCAAGTCACCTCTCGAGTTCCCTCTCAAGTCACCTCTCGAGTTCCCTCTCAAGTCTCCTTTCGAGTCACCTCTCGAGTTCCCTCTGAAGTCCCCTCTCGAGTCACCTCTCGAGTTCCCTCTCGAGTTCCCTCTCGAGTTCCATCTCAACTCCCCTCCCCAGTCCCTACTCAAGTCCCTTCTCTAGTCCCTACTCAAGTGTCGTTGGAGGTTCCGCTGGGGGTCCTGCCAACTCCATGTCCTATCCCGTTGGGGGTCCTGCCGACTTCTCTTCTGCCGGGGGTCCTGCCAACCCTATGCCCTGTCCCGTTGGAGGCCCCGCCGACTACTCTTCTGCCGGGGGTCCTGCCAACTCCATGTCCTGTCCCGTTGGGGGTCCCGCCGACGACTCTTCTGCCGGGGGTCCTGCCAACTCCATGTCCTGTCCCGTTGGGGGTCCCGCCGACTACTCTTCTGCCGGGGGTCCTGCCAACCCTATGTCCTGTCCCGTTGGGGGTCCCGCCGACTGCTCTTCTGCCGGGGGTCCTGCCAACACCGTGTCCTGTCCTGTTTCGGGTCCCATCGACACCAGCCCTTGCTCCGTCGTGAGTCCCACTGACACCAGCCCAGGTTCCGTCCAGGGTCTCGTCTACGCAGTGGCGAACCGTGTCTATCACAACTGGACCTTCTGTAGACACACCCACCCCCCGCCGCCGCCCCCCCCCCCCCTCCGCGGCATTATAATGTCCGTCTTTTTACTGAATTGTCGTCTTGAAAAGGGTACTCACAACAATTCCGCAACAACTTCATCTTCACCTGTTGCACTTGTCATTTCAACGTTAAAAACAATAAAACGGCATGAATTGCTTCGTCGCATTCATCTAGATCAGGGGTCTCCAACCTTTCTTCATCTGAGAGCTACTTTGAAAAAATGAAAGTGGCCAAGAGCTACTTGCATCACATCGCTTACATTTATTCATATAGCACTCATCAGTTGAATTAAGCTATACTTTTGTACACGTGTGAAATTGCAATACCTAAAGCTTATCACAAATCTTAACTTCACATCAAGATCCAAGAAAACGAAAATGTCTCACATATTATTATGGCCCAGTAAGTCACTGAAAATTCACATAAATGTCCTTAATCACCACCTGACAAGCATCATATGCACTTATGGTCAAATAAGTGCAATCACTCTTTTTTACAGTTAGTGAGTTGAATGGCACTGCATGGAGTCCACCATAGAGGTGTATACTGGACCCATTTAGGTTCACTCTAATAGAGTCATTTAAATGTTCATCAGTCAGTCTTGTTCTGTATTTAGATTTCATGACATTCATGTCAGAAAAAGCTGCTTCACAAAGGTCTGTAGAACAGAACCAAATAAATCAGACATTTTCAGTGCTGCTTGGTGAATGTTCTTATAGTTTGCTGGGTCTACAAGGCTCCAGAAATATTGTGAGTTTTGCTGAGACTTAAACTGAACATGATTTTGGAGATTTATAACCTCCATCTCCATCTCCACAGGATTAACACTGAACAGTTCAGCCATCTTTTTCATCTTCTTCTTCGTCTTGACATTAAATTATAAACCATAATAAATTAACTGTATAGGTCTAGCCTCCCTATATCTGTGTGTGAAATTGTTCCATCCTCAAAAACAAAAAACTAATACTTCTGCAGTCTAGCTGCAGCTTCTAGCAACGGTCTTCTGTTAAAAAAAGGATACTGAATGTCCTGAATGTGGCATCACACACATGACTATGGTCTGAACACAGCAGACAACAGGAGTATTTACAACAGCATTATACAAACAAAAATACTGCATGTGGGTGCACACTCACATTCTCTGTCTTACTGTTACATAAATCCCATGAATGCATGAGACTAAGTTAGCTTCATCATATCTCAATCAGTGATTAAGTGAATGATAAAGTTTCTATCGGGTCACTATCAGCATGTCACTCATCATTATTTTCAGGGAGGGGGCGGGGTTTGGAGGAACGGAGAGGAGACGGTGATCGCGGAAGCTTTCCTCCTGCCTTCACAAACTTTACACAAGTAGGCCTACAGTATTTATCAACTGAAAATAGCAAGAGGACATTCATACTCTGCAATCCAAGACTTGATTAAATCCACCAAAAACCTGACATGACGATAACGAGTGTTTTTCAAAAAACACAAATCCCTCCCTGTGTGTCTCTGAGACGCAACGACACGGTCTGATTCAGAGCGGGTCATTCTGCTGTTGGTTCTGG